GGTGAGGGAGAAACAGGAGGAGGAGAGGAAGGCTGACGGCAGAAACACAAAGCACCTCTTGTCTTCTGGAAGCCCAGGGAACTGATAGAGTGAAATTAACTACAGTTTCACCCGGGAGCCAGAAATGCCTCTTTAATAAGCAAACAGGGAAGCTGATCCTACACATGATCCACCTACGAGGGCTTTCCATCTTTTAAGAGCTTCTGGTCAACTAAGGGGGAGCCAATAGCCAATGCCAGCAATGGGGGATATAAGCCAGTGTGTCGCCTCAACAAAGGGCTGTCTCTACGTCCACCTGTTGGGGGAGGGGGGGCGTGCTTCCTGACAAAGAGAATGCCTGGTCTTGCAGAAAATACACTCCAGCCCCAAATCAAAAGTAGTGGTGGGTCACATACCAAAGATGTTGGGAAAGAGGGAACCTCAGCTGCTTTGGTTTTTTTCTTTTCTCTGAGATGTGTATTTCCAAGAAATTTTTTTTAATGGGAAGGGCCAGTATGTGTGTTTGTGTATGTGTGTGTGTGTGTGTGTGTGTGCACACGCATGCACGTCTCTAAGTGGAGGTAAGGGGTCACGAGCATACCTACAAAGACCATCACACTAGGTTAAAGACGACAGAATACAGGACCCAGCCCGTCCACTGAGATAAGGGTGAAGTCTGACCAGGCAGGGGAGGGTGGCCTAGTTATTAGCACAGTCAGCAACCAAGACTCCACCCTTTGGTGCAGCTGGGCAGGACGCGGATGTTTTAAATCCGGTCATGAGGCCTCTGAAGGTGCTACGGAGCCCGTGGTGGGTGTAAATCCTGGCCACCTCCACAGAGAGCTGAAGGGCAGAGGGGACCTTCACCATTTCTCCTTCTCAAGCATGCTTCCATGTGGGTTGGCAGGCTACCTGGTGACTTATTGGAAAACACATGGGCTTAACAAGTATTTCTTAAAGAAGCGATATGTCTGTCACCAACAGGGAAGGAAACAGTGTCGAGGTCACTCTGTCAGCCGCAGCAAGGGAAGTCCTGACACCTGGAGAAGGTGGTATGAGACTGGGGCCTGAGGGCCGGGGCTCGGAGAGGGAAAGGAAGTTATTTCCTATGGCTTCTGGGTAAAACCTTCTCTTACGTGACCAAGAGAGGAGGAGAGGGAAGGAAGGAAAGAAGAAAGGACACCGCCATTCAACTAGATGATGACGGAGCACCAGAAGCGAAGACTCCCGACAGCACAGCCACTTACACGGGGCTGACAGTCACCACAGGCAGGGCTCCCAAGAGGTGCACAAAGGTTCGCTGAGGCTTCCTTATGCTACACGAACAATGCTTCCAGCTGAAGATTAACGTCCCAGAGGGAAAAACTGGGAATCCAGGCAGACTCCAGAGACACAGCAGGTTGGTTTCCAGACCACTGCCATAACGCGAGTATGGGAATAAAGCGCGTCCCACAAATTCTGTCGTTTCCCAGGGTATAAAAGTCGTGCTCACACTACACCACAGTCGATTAAGTGCGCAATAGCGCTATGTCTAAAAAATGTACATACCTGAATTAAAAAACACTTTATTGCTATAAAATGTTAACCATCATCTGCACCTTCAGTGAGTCGTCCTATTTTTGCTGGTGGAGGGTTTGAAATATTGAGAGAATTAGCAAAATGGGACACAGAGACATGAAGTGAGCATTTGCTGTTGGAAAAATGGTGCCCACAGCCTTGCTCCACGTGGGGCTGACACAAAGCTTCCATCTGTAAAAACATGTAGTATCTGCGAAGCGTAGTAAAACGAGGTAAGCCTGGATTTTATAAATTTTGTGTTTACAAAACCTGAAGCTGATGACCTTCAATGTTTTAATTCCACCAGGCCCACAGTGTCCCTTTTCTGGAAAACATTCTTCCAAGGAGTTTTTAAAAGCCAGTTCCTGGGGGGAGGGAGGAGGATACACTTCAAGATGAGTTTTCTTAAAGGAGTTTCCAAAACAGAACCAGTTACTCTTAATGTCAACACGAGTATTACCTAACAATTTGCCCCCTTTGTCATTAGTCAAGAGTATAAACTTAGCCAGTGTGTAAGGGGTGGGGGGGGTGCAGGGTGTGCAGGGAAGGGGGAGGCGGGTAGGAAGCAAAAACATGACTGCAGGCCAAAGACAATTCAAAAGGATTTTGCAATACAGAAAGGAAGTCTATCATCTAGACTAAAGTTGCTCATACACTTCAGGGGGGGAAAGATCCTAATACGCATTAAATGAGAGAAACCCAGAAGGCAATGGTGTAAGAAAGCAATTCCAGAGCGGGCTGCATAAATAGACGTATTACATTATAAAACAGGGAACTGTTTGTTCCAGTCCATAGACCCCGGGTGAAATGGCAGCTGTACACTATTTAGTTTGGGGCACCTCGTTAATAAAAAGGGTATTCTGAGCAGAGTGAAAGAAAGAATTGAGGGGCAAAAGGGACCAGCTTTTAGCGGAAGATTAAAACAATGACGTATGCAGAGCCAGCAAAAAAAAAAAATCTTTTAAACCCCAAAATAAATAGGTCTGCGTATACTGGTGGAGGAAGGAGAATCCTGTGAAATGACTCATAGCAGAATATTGGGGAGTGGCATGACCAAACGGGGGCCCCCTCAGCTGGGTGGCACAATGGTCTCAGTCTTGGGGGCATGGATGTATCTCTGGGTGCTGGGCCCTGTCCCTGGCTCCTGGGAGCACTCGCATGCAGAGGCATGGGGTCAGACACCAAGCAGAAACCCCAGAGATTAAGATCCAACTTTAACCAAAAGAGGCATTTGAAATATACACAGAAGGAACAGTCAGTCTTGCAGTGACCTGGAGGTGACCGAAATTACCCCGGTACCCAGCACAGTGCTTTCCCAAAGCAGCAATCTAGACTGATTGTCAGGAGGACTGGCCTCTCCTCTGTGATAACAAAACCTCAGCTACTCCAGCAGGGAGGAAGCAGTCTCAGATTCTGGTATATCCGGCACTGGGGGATCCAGTGTTATTCCTCCCGGAGAAGGGAGCAAAGGTGCAGCCGGGCGGTCTGGACAGGAGCAGACGGGCAGAGGGGTCTGTAAGGGCTCGGCAGGGACACCTCCAGACAAACTGACAGAGCAGAGCCTTCAGAGACTAGGAAATGTCTGCTCTGGTGGAGGGTTGGCCATGAATTAATCATAGGTATCTAGAAAACCAGGGGAAACAAAAAGTTGTACAAGAAAGTAAATGAAATTATGAAACTCTACATGGCTCAGCTGTGATTAATATTTATAGAGTTAGAATAATGAAAACACTGAATATTAATACAACCCCAAATTATTATTTAATCATAATGGAAGATGGAGGGAGGGGAAGACTGAGTGTAGTGGGGAGGGGTGTGTGGGCACTGCATCTGTGTATGTACATGTATGTGTGTGAGAGAGCGTGTATGGAGTGTGGGGTGTGTGTGTGGTGTCGGTATGAGTTAGTGGACGGGTGTGTGAGCATGTATCAGTGTGTGGGTTTGCAGAATGGCATACTAGTAAAATCCTCATCTTCCAGAATAGAAGCCAACAGACAATGTCTACAACTTACCAGAAAAAAAGAAAATCAAGAAATAGTAGTAGAAGCATATTAAGAAATAAGGAAAGAAGTCACAAAAGGAACAATTAAACCTGAAAGCCAGAATTCCAGGGAAGGGGACTGGGGGAGGGTCATGCCATTTTTCATAATAAGGTGTACATCACTTTTTGCCTTTAAAAAGTCTAAAAATGTGAAATTTGACAACATTAGGATTAAACTCCCCACACAGCCACGACAGCTCAGTGGCTGCGAGGGTGCTGCAGGCGGCGGAGAGGTAAAAGCCCTGAGTCTGCAGCCAGGCGGCCTGGACCACGCGCCACCAGAAGGAGAAAGAGGTCTTGTGGGGGGGGGGGCGTGAGCTCAGCATGGGAGGGGCAACGATGAGAAGCCCGGGAAGCTGTCTGCCGGGTGCGTGGCAGCACCAGGACATCAAAGCTTCAAGAGGTGGGGAGCCAAGTGCCCGGCCAGGACCACGAGCCAGGGAGGGGCGTGGAGGACGGTCAGGAGAAGCAGGAGGACAAGAGGGAAACGTGCCCAGGGAAGGGCGCTTCGACAAGGGACCGTGCAGCAATTTCAAAGGCCGCGGAAAGAAACAGGCCCAGCCCGCAGCCACTGGGCTGGGTCAACCCAAGGTCAACGGTGACCTTCTCAAGGGTAGCTCATGATGGGAGGAAACAGGCTACAGAGGCAGATGCGGGCACTGGACACGACCAATACCGAATGTTCCTTCCAGAATCTTGAAGATTCTCTTGTAGACAGAATGGAACAGAGGATTAACGGACAGCTCTTGCTTTATGGTTTTTAAAGACGTAGGCTCTTGCCTGTGTTCCCAAGTTGAGAGAAAGAGACCAGAAGGCTGGAAAAAAACGAGACTGGGGACTGTACTGTGTGAGGTCCCAGTGGGAATGGGAGTACAGAGCGAGGTGACTGCGGGCCGGATGGCCGGGTGGGAGGCAGAAGGGGGCGAGCTCCCCCGGAAGCCCTCCACTCTCTCTGTAAAGTAACAGCACTGAGCCGGACTCTCACACACAACAGAAAGGTTTCTAACAAGCACTTGTTGCTTCGATCCTCTCTGAAGTCATTCTTACAGGCCGGACTCGAGGCCATGAACTGTCCATTCTCAATACTGAGCAAGACAAAATTTAGTATTTGCTTTATCTCAATCTGCAACCAATAAACCGAATCTACGGCGTACCCTGGAGGAATCTGGGGAGAAAGGACAAAACACTTTCCATTGGCTTGCTCACCGGGGAGTGGCTTGCGACACCTCAAGCAAAGTGGTGCCAGGTTCCCCTGAAAAAAGAGAGAAGCAACAATCCTTCCAGAACACCACGGTCACCTGTAAGCCTGGTAATGAACACCCAGGCCAGCTGCACCCAAACGAAGCCCTGAGGAGGCCTCCTGGCGGCCAACATCCAGGTCCCCCGGCCTCCCTGGGGCTTCGGAGCCGGAGAGACCACTCACCTGGGTCGGTGGAGGGGCACCTGCGGATGGTGAAGATCTGCCCCAGGTCCTCGTCCTCCTCTGGAAGGCCCTTCTGCAGCCGCTGCAGCTTTCGCAGGCTCTCGCTGCGCTGGTGCTTCATGGAGCGCACGTGCTGGATGAGGTTGAGCTTGGCCTTGGTGGAGTAGTTGCACAGGACGCAGTGGTAGTAGCAGCTCTCGCCTTCCACGCCACTCTCGTGCTGCTGCAGGTGCTGCGGGGGCAAGGGACAGGGACACGCTGTGGGTGAACCCCTGAAAGCCCACCAGCGCTGCGAGCCCACTCCGCCCTGGCGGCCCCGGCGATAGGATCCCTGAGAGGGGTCGCTTGGTTTTCCCAACATGCCTGTCTCTGCAGCAGCCTGAGAACAAGCAGCACCCCGCCTGTCATCCTCGTCTCCCCGAGATGTGTTGGAGCGCTGACAACGCTGATGGATCGGACCCTCCCAGTATAAACCTGTTTTTTCTGGCACAATAATTTAAGGTTCCTCCTCCCACTCTATGAAGTGTCCTCCTTTTTTTTTAAGAAAAGGGTCAGCTAACTATGGCCCGAAGGCCAAATCTACTCTCTGTCTATTTCTGTGATAAGGTTTTAAGGAACACAGCCACGCCTGTTAATTTACACATTGTCTATGACTGCTTTCTGAACACCAGAGTTCACTACTGGCAACAGAGTGGGCACCCCCTGTAAAGCCTAAAATAGCAACATCTGGCCCTTTACAGAAAAAGGTAGCCAGCTCCCACTTTAGGTGATAATCTATGTGGTCGCCTTAACTGTAGAGAATCCTAGGTCAGTAACACAAGCCAAAGCTGCTGGTGGTCTATTTCACAAGAACATGACTCAGGTTTTCATATTTAGAGCTCGTCTCTTTATTAGAAGAACCCCAAGTTAGGTTTTCCTCTGGATTAAAAATATGACAGGAAAATAAATTTCTCCAGACTAGTTCCCTGTCAACATGTCAGGGTCCTTTGGCTTAGTGCTCAGATGGTCAAAATGACACTGTTGTGTTTGTGCAGACACAGTACTTTGAGTCCAGAACACGGACGCCCAAGAGCAGGCGGGAAACAGGAACACACAGGAGTAAAGTTTGGAGCACAAAACAGAGGAGGTCACGGAAACAGCAGCCCCTGGACTTCTGTGTCTCGGAGAAGACTTAAGGACTATCCAAGCACAAAATTCACATCCTTTGGGGCCTCTTTGAGAATATGCTGAAAGCTATGGACTTTTTTTATTAACAATTAGGAAACTGATATGCTCCTGGTAGGGGAAAGCCATCTCCTTCATTTCAAAAGACTTATTTTGGGGGAAGAAGGAATTTTTCTATTGGGTACACATGAAGCAGGGGAAACAAGACCAAAAAGTTTAAGCAGCTGACCCAAGGTAACCCAGCTAGGTAGTGGGAGAGGGAAAGAACTAGAACCCGGGTCTCGCATCCCACAGCATCCTTTCGGGGGAAGAAATTCAGATCACGTAAGTGTTTCATGTGCTTATGTCATGACCTTCCCTCTTTCTCCTGGCTCTCACCCCCACGCCTGTCCCCAGAGCCCGACCCATGGAGCTACACAGAGTACACGACAAGTGCCTCGGAACTGCTTTGTGCTGCCCCTCTCCCCTCTGACTGCACTTGTTCTGTTGGATGCCCACGCCTTGGTAACTGTTTCTGGTCCTGCTTGGCTATCTTTCTTGTCCAGATTAAAATGCAAGACACTCAGAGAGCAAAGCAGTCAGGACGTTCTGCGCTCTGCCCAGCACTGACAATACCAGAGCGACCCGACCAGCACTTCCTGTCCGGTGACACAGCTCTGAGACTCATGTGCTCACATGCACACATCCTCTGTTCACTGGAAAAGTGTGAACACTCCAGAAGCACATTTGGACCTCACTGGAAGAGGAAATACGAATGCACCAACAGAGAGCTGCGGACAAACTATCGCCGGGAAGCGGAGGGAGGGCCAGGTCCTCAATCATATAAACCAGCAACACGGCTCCACGGTAAGTTATGCTCTGGGGCCAACTTGCAGGTGACAATGTGACAGACTACACAGGTACTAGCAGGGAACAATCCTGTCCTCCCCTGAAATGGGTGATTTAACACACTCAAGTGCAGACCCTTGGAACAAAACAGTATCTCCCCCAGTAAGAGCTGTCCTAGAGCAATCACACCAGAAGGAGTTTGAAGAACTAGCAAGTTCAATGCTAACTGTCATATTACAACAACTGAAAATAAAAAGATACTTTTCCTGAAATAAATTTGAGCTATTTTTTTTAAATAGTTTGCTTCCTCTAATGTAAGACCCCTTGCAGAGCACTTCAGGAGGACGGACAGCACCAGAGCCACGTCTCCTGGAGGCAGCCACCCTGGGGAGAAGGCAGGTCTGATGGGCTAGATGCAAAGGAGCAAGAAGCCCGTCCACACGCATTCTCCTCAACTTCTGCACAAGGACCCCGAAAGCCAAAGCCGGACCAGGATATTCCTGGGAGCAAGGGTCTGACTTGGGATTGAGGAAAAGAAAACGTGTACAAGAGCCAGGAACTGCATCCTGGATCACTGAGACCCAAAGAAGTACGTTTATTACAGTTTTGACAAAAACTGACTGAATGACAGGTAATGGGGGGAAAAAAAACCAAAACCCATGGAATCCAAAGCAGTAAGTTCTCTCAAGGGCTTCTAGTGGTATCGTAAACTAGGAAATCCGAGCAAGAGTCACTTAAGCCTTAACCCCAACTTCCCACCACCTTCCCGTGACAGGACTTCCTTGCAATAAGGCTCTGAATCTTAAACATAAAATTTTAATATGGATGTGAAGGTTCTTTCCCAAACGGCTGGGGTTTCCAGTCTTGGAGCCAGAAGAGAGGATAACATCGCCAAAAAGAGTTGGTTGGGGGTTGAGATGTCAGATGTTTTTTATCCTCAAATCCAGGGGTTCTTGGGTGACAAGGCTGTAGAAATCTTGAGCTGAAATAAACATACTGGGGACCCCTGCTTAAAAAAAAAAAAAAAAAAAAAACTCCTATGATGATGTTCCCAAACCACTCCACCCTTGAGCTCAGGCTGGTAAGTGGCAACCTCTTCCACCACCAGGAATTCTTTTGTCTCCCATTTGAGAATCATTTTGGAAGGGACTACAAACAGTAGAGGAAAGAATAAAAGGAAATGTGGGAACCAGGGCCACGGCCTCTCTCACTGACGCTGTCGTAGGGAACATTAAGGGTCCTCCCTTAGAGACTGCACAAAGGTTAATTCAAAATTCCAAGCTTGCTTTTGCACTCCAAGTTAATCCTCCAAGACACACATACACAAATCCAGAACAAACTATTTCTCGGTTCCTAGGAAACACTTGTTTATAAAGGTTATATCCCAACCAAACTTCCACTCACAACTGGAGTTTGCTGAGGTCTACCTGTGTGTGGCAGACCCTGTTCTCACCACATTTTGTAAGCTCTCACTCCCGTATTTCTCAGGCTGAACCTGGAGCAAACGGGGGCCCAATGGTGACAGCAGGGTTCTACCTTCTGTAACCTTCCCCACACCATCTGGTCATTTCCCAGGCCTTCAGTGGGTCACAGCCCTGACCTCGTTGGCTTGACGTCTTCTCCCTCCCAAGAGGCATTCTCCCATCCCCAGAATCCCACCCCTGGAACCTGCCTAATAAGAAGCTATTGGCGGCGGGGGGATGCCTGGAGAGGCTGATGAGGACTCTGAGGGGCAAGCCAGTCAGCCAAGGACATGCCTTCCCTGCAGAAGAGAGTAGATGTTTTCATTTGGAGAAGGAGGGAGAATGATTTGTTCCTGACCCAGCTAATTAGAATACCCTCAGTTGGGATCACAATGTATTTAATTAAATTCACTGTAATATATGAAGACTCCACCAAGGCACAGATCCCAGTGGACCACTCAGTGAAGGAGCTGCTTCCTTTCAGAGTTCTTGCTCTCCTCGGCAGGCAGGAAGGAAATCCTTCTCCCACACAAATCCTGGACTCCCCCCTCCATCACAGAGCACTCCCGTCCTCGGGAAGGGCGGACCCAGGTCTTGTTTGGCTTTTTCCATTTTTCTTTACTCGATGTTCAAGATTCTTCATTACTCACCTCTATCAGGTCAGGTGTACAGTTTAAAAAAAAAAACAGACCAGTAACTTCAACTGTGGTTAGTGTGCTGTAAGGCACGTGTGCCACACGTGGACCCAAAGAACACTGGCCACTGAGCCCACTTGGCAGGGTTTGGTTTTGATTAGATTGTAAGTGCCTACAAGACACCATGTAAACACACACACAGAGAATGTGCCCAACCCCAGGGTCTTAGGTGACAGTGATGGTGGTGACTTGGCAGACACGTCAAGGGATTGAGGAGGGCTCCCCTTTGGCTTGAACACCACTGCGAGAATACACCCTCCGGCTGGATGGACGAAAATCACTGGCTCACTGAAGAAAAATCAGCATCCACCCACTAATAACGAAGAGGCAGGACCAACTAGCAAATCAAGAAAGGAAGATGGACGGAGCCAAAGAAGGGCGGCCACTGAGGTCCAACCAAACTCACTAGGTCTCTCCAGCCTCTCCTATAACCTCACACTGTGCAGGGTTTCTCTGATTTCCCCCAATCTCACTGGCTGGTTTAGAAACTGCCTGCCCAGCACTGGGTTATATGAACGGCAAGTGTACAGCGGTTTCCACCTAAAGAAACGTCTAGACTTGACAAGAGGATTTATCTCCTGAAAACTCAAGAAAGCACAATGACCTAGAAACAGTAAATAAGTATCCAGTTTGACTCATAAACAGAAGCAGAAAAAGAGCCCAACAAACTCCAACTTTTGCAAATTAACCACCGTGCAGCAGAAAACAGACTGCGCGCACCGCCGCCAAGCAGGAACCGGGCTCACACACACGAGGTGGTCAGCCCCCTGTGCTGGCAACAAGGGAGCGTGGGCGCCCCGGCGCTGGTCAGAGACTTTTTCCTGTCCGCCAGTCAGATCTCGTCAGAGCTACTTCTATTTTTAAAATGCTCATCAAGTCTTAGTTTAGCCGGAAGGCGACGCTCCTGCCTCACTGACATGGAAACATCCAACGCCCACTTCTTCCTTTCTGGGTCTGGTTCATGGGGAAGAACTTGGAAAAGAAAAGACCTCAGTACAGTACTAAGAGGCACCTCGAATAATGAGCCTGGCACGGAAGGCCGAGTGCAAAAAGCAAATTAATAATTAAAAAAGAAAGGAAAG